GTAATTATTTGCTTTAATTATTTGTATTTTTCTGTGTGCATCCAAATTTAATTTATTTTTTTCTTTCATTATTAAATTATTTTTTTCACTTTTTTTTTTTAGAAAGGTGTGAATTAGTAAAATATTTTTTCTCATAATTGATAATGATTAAGAGTTGTTATATATATACATAACTATTTGTTAATAGAAGTGTTGGGTGAAAACTGGGTTAGTGTTGGGATTCTTGGTCAACTATTTGAAACTCACTTATCGTCAATCTCTCACTTCGATTTGTTTCATAACTTGTACATGATATCATAATCCTCTGTGTGTGTTCAAACTAGAGCCACAACTCTAACTTTACAAATACTCCAAATTAAGCTCACTTTTTTTTTTTGCACAAGCAGAAACTATAGTTCTACTTTTCTAAGAATATATGTTAGTTTTTATATTGATCGATGAAGTATTTTTAAAAGTAAAAGCAATATATAAGAATTTAAACAAATAACTTTGTATGAATCTTCTTTATCTTCTACTTTTTTAGCCCATAGACTCGTGACATAAAAAATTTGGTTTATCAAAAGCTTATTCTATTCAATTTCAAAAAAAAAAAATATTAATAATAATAAGGAGAAATAAATAATAAATAATAAAAATAAAACTAACATAAGAAGAAAACCAATATTTGAATTTATAAAAGTATTTTTGATAAGTAGAATCATTTTCTTTTCCTATTTATATTATTTGTAACGACCCGAACCCGAAGGTCTGAATCGCTAACCGGGTCCTTACCTGAACCCGAGGTTGTCTAAGGGCACTATAGTCAATTCCAAGGTTGATACATAATATATGTGCCACCCCAAGACTTATATAAATAAAAATGAGATCACAAATACAAAAGATGTCAAAATAGTCTACTAACCCATTCAAACTTGTGGAGGAGCGTCGTCCGCCACTTCCTTCCCGTGACCTGAAAAATGTAATAATATGACAGAGTGAGCCAGCCGCTTAGTAGGAGGTGTCTAAGACATACCTCTTAATGACCCGTGAATCCACACAGAGCATAGGGTAAAGGTAAACGAGATCATGTCCATCGGGGAAAAAACGCAACAACAATAATAATATCATCAACAACTACCAAACAAGTCATCCAACCATATGTATACAATGCATGTCAATGTAATGCAATGGCATGCCAATGTCGCTCCCCATTTTTGAAACATTTCCGTTTCACCATTCCAAACAGTTAATGCAACCCGACCCATAGCATCTCTATGGCATCACGAGAGAATGATTGGCTAGCTATCCCCAACCATATGGCACCTCCATGGCGTTGTTTTGGGCCTAGGTTGCTCAACCACACTAGGGTCTCTCCCTAGTTCCCTTTAGATGACATTAACACCACAGACCACTAGGCACCTCCTAAGCATCCAGATTTTCGCAAACCTTTTTCAAAACATTTTCCCCAAAATAATTTTCATTTGTTTTTCAAAAAACATTTTCCCCTTTTCTTTCCCAATGGAATGCATGAATGCTTCATGTTTCCCAAAAATCATGATTTTATACAATCCAACCTTACAACATTGCATGCTTAAAAAGGAAATTCTCATAAAAATATAACATGCTCATTAACAACCAAATTTCAACAGCTAAGCATAAGGGATAAAAACACAATCACCTGAACATGCTTCTCGAATCAATTAAACAAACCACATGCACACATACCACTTACGCATAAAAACTCACATGGATAAACAATTTATATATATATATATATATATAACATTATAACAAATTCTCATAAAAATATCCACAATTAAACATGTTATACATCATATATACAAAAATGAGTCACAAGAATCAAAGAGATCATGGATTAGAGCATCCCTACCTCAAAAGTAGCCAAAATACATCCCCGGCCTGAAAAGTCAACGCCGGTCAACACAGGTCAATGAAAGTTAATGCCGGTCAACGATGGCAGAACAGAAAACTATTTGGCAGGAATGTAACCGATGACGAGGAGTTTCTATTGTTCCAAATGTGTGTCTCTGGAATCCGACTCCATGTGGCCCAAAACCCCCTCCGAAACCTTAGAACTAAAAACTTCAAATATTCATAAAATAATTACCGCTACTCTAAAAATTAAATCCATTGACAAGGTAATAGAGAAAGACGGGAGGAACATTTTCCATCAAGGAACCAAGACCGAAATCCTGACCGATTGGCCAAAAAATGAAAGACAAATAATGAAACTCAAATGGAGGGAAAAAAAAAAAAAAAAAAAAAAAAAAAAAAAAAAAAAAAGAAACTGAAGCTACTGTGAGGGAGAGAGATAACTGCGTGATGGCCAGAGATGAGAGAATGATAGTCAGTATGTGACTATCAAGTCATTTGTAATGACATAAACCACTAGCGGGTCTCACGGCTTGATAAAATATCTTTTAACAATATAATATATATATATACACTAACCAATTTACAATCACACATTTCCAAACACATAACCACATAACTATACATCATAAAAGGTCAAAGTACAGAAAACCCCCCTCAACTTGTAGCCTTTTCCAGTAAACCTCCCTCGTCTATTTTTTTACTAAAGAACCCCTCTCGACTTGTAACCCTTTCCAATAAATCCCCTTTGCCTAATTTTTTACCAAAGAACCCCCCTCAACTATCTAAGGGGGTAAAAGAATTGATATTTGAATCAAAATGCCATTTTATTTGAATCTTAATTTTTTCGAACTTCAAAAATTCACATCTCACAAACTGTACATCAAAATATTACAAATAATATATAAACGGAAAGCTTATAAAACAAGGATTCTAGAAATATAAGATTTGTTTAACAAAACTTCATAACCAGAGAGAACTAGACAATCTAAAAATCTACTGTAACAATCTTATTTTATTTTATTTTTTATAAAGTACTTGGGTTATTAGCAAAACAAAATACAGAATTATTCATTTTCATATAGAGCATAACATATAAAAAAAATTAGTCCCAATGGAGAGTGAATGTTCATTTTATTTATTTTTTAAATGGTGAGCCTATAAAAAAATGAAAATATTTTGACGCAAAATATGATATCTCGTGAAATCGATATCTGTTGGGGCTAAATTTTTTATATATTCTACTCTACATGTAAATGAAAAATTCTTAAAATTTCTAGCAAATATCTTAAGTATTTTAAAATAAAATAAGATTATTGGAGTAGATTTTTAGATTGTGTATTTCTCGCTAATTATGAAAGTTTGTTGTACAAATCTTATATTTTTGGAATCCTTATTTCATAAGCTTTTAGTGTATATATTATTTATAATTTTTAAAAGTACGGTTTGTGAGATATGAATTTTTGAAGTTCGGATGAATTAAGATTTAAATAAAAGGGCATTTAGGTCCAAATATTAACTCTTTTACCCCCTTTAGATAGTTGAGAGGGGTTCTTTGGTAAAAAATTAGACAAGAGAGATTTATTAGAAAAGACTACAAGTCGAGGGGGGTTCTTTGGTAAAAACATAGACAAGGGAGATTTACTAGAAAATGTTGCAAGTCGAGGGGGGTTTTCTGTACTTTGCCCCATCATAAAATAATGTATGAAGAGTAACAGCCCTGAAAATTAATTCCTGTGCACAACAATACCGGTTGCAGGTTCCACCTGAGACCTCCCGACCCAAAAAAGGAAAAAATACCGAAATAACAACTGATGCATTTTTAAGAGTCTCAAACTCGAAGAAATGCCCCAACCACTCTCAAGACTCACCCGGCACACCCCACAGTGTCCAGCACGCAAAACGAGGCAATGATTAAAATAATCCAAAAAAATCAAAAATTTCCAAAAAATGGAAAATAGGAAAATTGAGAAACATCACACTATCCAAATTAACAAAATAAAATTTTGTCACAATTTTCTTCAAAACTTTTCTTGCTAACTTTCCCTTCTTTCACTTCACTTTTTTTTACTTTCACTTTACATAAAATTTTCCGTCTAACCAAACGGAGGCCTAGAGTTTGGTTTCTTTATGTCTTAGTTTTCTTCTACAGTTAGGTTTTCTTTTATTATAAATATGTGTATCGCCAAATGTAGAATTAATTTTTATTCATTCAATTATCAAATAATATATCAGGTTTTTCTGAATTATCTTTTTGTTTTGTGGATTTAAAACAGCCATCTTGTGGATTCAAAGTAATATGTTTCTCGTGAACAAATTCACGGCTTCCGTTTACGTCAGTTGATACCACAAAACAATAAATGTCACTACTCCGGATGAACCTTACATCCAACCTCCCAAAAGAAAATGTGGAACTAATTAATGGATATAATCAAGCTAATTAATTGCAATTTGCAACTTATATTTTAGACTCCTTCAAATATTACACGGTATATCTTTATCAAATTCTATATATATTATGACTGCCAACTAGTACATTTTTTGCCAGGAGAATGATCTGCGACCTAGAATGAAAACATTACCATTTAATACTTTCTCCTGCGAAAAACAAACAAACAAACACATCCGAATGGAGTCAAATCTAAAAGCATGTTTCTTACATATCATCACAGGACAAGAAAATAGACAATTTCGATTTTTTTCCTCACTAGATAAGAATAACCATGGTTGGGAACTATCAATGTCAAAATATCAAGATGCTGAACAAAAAAAAAAAAACTTTGAACCATTATTTAGACAACAGAATAAACACAAATTCCTAGTGTGCCTCACAAATCACAATGTCATTACTGCAAATTATAAAAAAAAAATGCCCAATGAAACATAAAGCTAACCCAAAACTTGCCATTTCTCTGCTAATTCCTGAGATCTCTATCATTCAAGCAAAGCTACGTATAGAGCTACATGCGTCGGTAATAAAAATCTATTAGGACTTCTATTATTTTTCAAAGAAAAATTGTATATATTTCTCTTTATAAATAATATTGAACACAACTATAAATAGACAAGAATTAACTAAGAAATTGAAGAAAAGCTAAAAAAAATTAGATATTATTTGATTGACCTCCTCACAATTCTTTTTTCCTCTTTCTTTTTACTTGAGGTGTACGAATGGGCAAAACTAAACTATCCACATATAAAAGCACTCTCGGAGAATATGATTTTGTTTTCCCAATTCTCCTGCACTCCTTTATCTTGGGATTATAGGTGACTATACTTCTTCCATTTATAACACAACCATCAGTTATCATCACAATTTCACCATTTTTGGTAGCATACAATGGCGCCAATGGTGCCATGCAACATAAATATCCTGTTCCTAGCCAACGCGGGATGACGACGAACTTAGTCCAGGAATTCTTCTCACCATATTGCTTCATTGTCCATACCACAATATGTTTTTTGTCCAAGGTATTACAATATAAACTGAGGCATCCTTTCATAACCGTCAAACTAAATACATCTCCTTCTTTTATGTATTTTGGTGGTGGCATCTCCTTGAACTTGTCATCGGCCGTATCAAAGTAAACAATCAAACATGTTCTAGCGGAATCATGCTCATATTGGGGTATATGAGTGTCTGAATTGTGAAGATAGAGTTGACCAACCAAAGCTGAGTAATAATTACCATTGTCATCACCACTATCAATATTATCTGATGAACCCGAAGAGGAAACACTAGAACAGTTGTCGGAAGAAGGGTATCGCCTCACGTTGGCAACTGTGGGTGTTAAAGCAACCCAGTGTGACACACCATTAGCAATGAACATATCACCGCAAAAACACAAATAAGGGAATTGCCTAGGCTCTGACCAGCATTGACCTCTGAAACTAAAAACCACAAACAATTCCTCATCTGTCGAGATAAATATGACCTTGTAATCATCCATGGAAGAATCATAGCAAAGTCCCCGTGGTACATAACTGTTATATATATGAGGTGGAGAAGAGAACTTTTTATGTGCTCTGATGGATGGATTCCACAATACATACATATTGTCTTTTTCAACATGCAAAAGTACTAAACCATTACAAGAACACATCATTCTCGCAATCCAATACTTCCTACAAGGAAAGGATACTTGTTCACCCTCACAACTTTCATTGGCTATGGAGTAGAGATCAATATGGTAGTGGGCCGAGTCAAGGAGTTTTTTACGGTCCAACCTAATTGATTCATTGAGATGTGATTTTGCAAATTTGGGATCTGAGATTACACCACGCCATGATTTACAAACGCACCTGAATCGAACCAGAGACTTGACAGGTAGTTTCGAGAGTATGTTGTATATGACTTCACATGGAAGATTTGATGTGTCACCTTCAATTGCTGGCTTTCTTTGTTTTCTCTTCCTTCCCATTCTCTAGCAGCTTTATCTGGCTCTTCTAGATCAATTAATGGCGGCAGAAGGATTTATGCATAACGGGTTTTTGGAAGGGTTATGGGTTTTTAGGCTTATATATTACCTTCGGAAAACACCATAGTTACCAAATATATATATATATATATATATGGAAATTAAAATTTTCAAAGAATAAAAAAAATAAAAATATATATTATTTTTAATTAATTTTTTTTCAAGATTTTAATTCCGGGTAACTGCCTTTTTTCTTTCGTAGTTCTTATATAGAAGAAATTAATAATATTAGTTTGGAAAGCTTAAAATAAGGTGGTTATGTTGTTGTACTAGGAAAGGAAAAAAGTGGTTATATGGAAATTTAGTCAATGTACGCGGTACTAGGAAGGAAATTTGCTTGAATTTTCTCGTAACTCTTACTACTACATTATAAATAACTTTCCATATATCAGGAAAACCTTCTCAGAACCGTGAGGCAATTACATTCCAACTCAAAATTGCGATGAAATCTCCTTTTCAGGTAAAACTATGTTATTACAAAGATACACCCATCCGTGTTGGATTGCAATTTTTAAGAGCACGTGTAGATAAAAACTGAATTTATAATTTTAATTAAATTATTTATATAAATAAATAATTAATAATTTTTATTTTTTCAATGAGGTGCTGAATTGAGAAATCAAACAGGCCCTAATTAAATTAATATTAAAAAATTAATTATTTAGTTCAAAAATAATTCTTAATAGTATATTAGTAGTTTTTTTATTTTTTATTTACTTATTTATTTTTATCATGAAAACGATAACATATATCATTTCAAAGGCACAAAGGCCAAGCCAACGGCAGTACAGAGGCAAAAAGCCAAGGCAGAAAAGACATACAAATCATGAAGCAAAGCAAGAAAATGAAGACGTACAGGTTCCAGATCTATGGAGAAAATAGAGCCTAAAACTTTGCAACGGAACCACCATAGGAGAAACGCAACAAACTGGAGTGACCCAAAGGTCAAGCCATCATCAAGGCAACAGCTCCAAAACTACAGCCACAAGGCACTCCGATATCCAAGAAAACCCCGCACAAGATCAAATCAAGGAGAAAAATATCAAATCTAGGCGAGAGAAAACCAAAACCAACGTAGACTGAAGATCAAGTCAGAGAAAACAACAGATCAGTCCATGTGATCCGAAAACGAACCAACATGAACAGATCTAGCTGAACAAAACAAAAACGGTGTAAAAAAAAACACACACAGAGCGCACTTATTGAAACGCGCCTAATTTATTACAGCCGTGAGAGGCAACTATCATCTCCCCACTCCCATAGAAGGGAACAGGGAGGCACAAAGTGAAGAAGATGAAGGGGGTTAGAGAGAGAAAGTTAAAGAGAGGTGGGAGAGAAAATTAAAGAAGTTGTATTGAGTATAAATGTAATTACAAGGTGGGCTATAGGAGCCAAAATAGAGCCTAACAGTGACAAGCCCGACCTAAAGGGATAGACCCGATCCAAACAAAAACAAACATCCCTAGATTGACAAACAACCCTTCGCTCGGAGTGAGTCAAACAGCCATTAATAACAAATTTCTCTATTAACAGTGAATATGCCATCATCCAGTGGTTATCGAAAGGAGCTCATGTAAGAACTAAAGTGATGTCATCCGACGATTGAGGAGGTGGTTGAGTGCAGCCTCCCCCAATTAGCAAGCAAGGATCGTGAAGAATCACAGTCCTTAAGAACTCTGGTGGAGAGCTTTGATGAGATTGAAGAAGTAACTAATATGATCGAGAACTATGTTCTTCGAAGATGTTTTACCCCTAAATAACAGATCATTCCTTTCCTTCCACAAGTGGCTCACTGTAGAGGCCAGGACCATTTTGCATATAAAAAATTAGGGTTTTTTGGATTTCCAATGGTGGCTGGCCTAATCGATGATCCCGCTCTAGCTTGTGATGCCTGTAATCTGTAATATCCCGTATTTTTTCGACCATTTTTTTATATTTATTATTTTTGGGCATCGATTTGCGTGTCATATGGGTTCTCAAGGTCAATTAGGACATTTCTTTGAATTTAAAACTCTTAGAAATGCATTTAAGTACGTTTCACCATTTTTTTTTGGGTCCAGAAGGACCCGTGTAACCATGAGTCCAGGTTTTCACAGTCAGAAAATTTTCCACTTTATTGCATGTCATTATCATTATTATTGGTGCATATTATATATAGATATATATATATATATTTGTTGATGGTATGGTTGTAGTTACATTTATGTATTAAGGGCATTTTAGTAACTTTGACTAGGGGAGTGGGGACCACCAATTGATCACATGTGTATGTAAATGTCTAGAATGTAGATTTTTTTTGCTCATCTTCATCTCTCACTAGGGGTACACACAGTTCGGTACGGTTCTGACAAGAACCGGAACCGAAACCGTTCATAATGGTTCTTTAAAAATAGAACCAGAACTGTGTGTGCATGGAACCGAACAGAACCGAATCATGAATAATGGTTCAGTTCCCATTCTGGATACTAAAGAGTAGATGAGAGGATGAGGAGTGAGGACTAAAGATGAATGACTAGTGATAAGATGAGAGGATGGGGAGTAAGGGCTGAAGAGAAGATAAGAGGATGAGGAGATGGTGTGTAGGCGATAACCGCGATACAGAAGAAAATGTGAAAGGATGAAGAGTGAGGACTGAAGATGAATGACTAGTGAGAAGATGATAGGATGAGGAGTGAGGACTGATGAGGACGAGGACTGTAGATGAGAGGAGGCGAGGGCGATGAGGAAGCCACTTGAGAGTTTAAACTTGAGATGAAGGGAGGCAAGAGTTAGGTTTAGGTTTAGAACTTTAGATGAGTTTTTGTTTTTGTGGTTTAGTGTAGACCACGTGTTACTGACTTACTGCACTCATGTATGAGTGTATGATATATTGGTATGAATGAGTTTAGTAAGTATGTAATTAAAAATATATATAATTAAATATATAATCATATATATATATATATATATATATATATATACGGTTCAGGTTCCTAACAGTTCCTACCGGAACTAGAACCTGAACCGTAAGCCCACGGTTCTTATTTTCATAACCAGGATTAGAACAGTGAGAACTGGAACCAAAGCCATGGTTTGGTTCGGTTCGGTTCCACGATTTTTTTGTTCACCCTTTCTCTCACATCCAACCTAATCTCTCTCTCTTTCTACATTCTCTTCCTCTTTCCTTTTCTTTACATGTTCATTAGGCCTGATCACGGTTCGGATCGATTCGGTTTGGGGATAAAGATCAAGTTGAACTGGTCCCCACAGATTGGTGAAAATTGAAACTAAACCGATCCGTGGGGGCCTTCAATCCGAACCAAACTGATATGTTACTTCACGGATCGGATCGGATTGGTTTCCACGGATTAGGCTGATTGGGCTTTTTAAACAGCCCAATAGATTATGGCCCATTAACAGCCTGATACAACTACATTTGGCTTATTTCAAGTGAGTATTCTAAAATAGATTTCTGAATTTAAATAATGCAATACACAAGAATGTAATTGTTATTGTTCACATTTCATTCTCTTTAATTTTCAAGAATATAGTTCCAGATCTGACACCAAATTCGCCAATAGCAAATGAAATTCAACATATGTAACACACACACACACACACACATATATGTATATACATATATAAATATATGTATATATATTACCTGATAGAAGAACGGCCATCATGAATTGACGATGGGATCGAATTGTCGGAGAGAGGAATGGCGGTGAGAAAAACAACGATGCCTTCGCTGCCGCTAGAGAGAAGGAAAGCATTGCCGACTTCTCTGAAAGAATCTCGTTCATAAATGTGGACAGAGGCATGAGTTGATCCAATGGCTGATATTAAGAGGGTAACACTGATAGTGAAGAAAGCTGGAGTAACTGTGAAACCCATGTCCTAGACCTAGAGAGAGAAAGTAGAAAGAAAGAGAGGGGATTTGCAAATTTGATGGAGTTTTACAGGGAGTGGGAAAGTGAGCTCCGAGCTAAATGCCAATGAGAGAGGTTATGGACTTGAAGTAGCATGTAATGCCAGAGGTTGAAGAGAGAAGACTGGAGAGAAAAGGCTGAGGGAGGGGCGTTTGTAATGAAATGAGATGAGAGTAATGAATTATTTGGGAGATAGGAAAGTAATAAGTATATTTAATATTGTGTATGTGTGTGTATATATATATATATAATATATTAATATATTATTTAGGGAACGGTTTGGTTCTGATTGGTTAACGGTTTGGTTCAGTAACGGTTCGGTTCGGTTTTTTTAGGGTCCAATCTGTTAACCGAACCGTGAATACCGGATTGCAAATTTTCCAAACCATCACCGAACCATGAGATCTGAAAACTAAACCGAACCACACGGATCATATTGGTTCGGATCGGATTGACTGATTATTTGCTTACCCCTAATGTTCATGTATAAAACCTTAGATCTAGCAGAATTTGGCCAAGAGAATGAAGGAAAAGTTGTTCTACTTTTCAAGAGCATCATTTTGGTACCAATATTGTGTAGATTTGGAGCTTGGTTAGGGTCTCGTCTAGTATCATGCTCGCACTCATGTATACGCAAGGGTTGCACACGGGCACGCGGCGTGACAACTGACAACCGATCGTAGAGTGCTACGACTGATCGCTTAAAACTAAACTTTTTATGCTACAGTGAGATGGACTTTAAATAAATTTTACATAGAGGATGACCAATCGTAGAGTTCCTATGACCAATCGTCGAGCCAGAAAAATGCTTATTTACTATTTTTTTGTTATGGTTCATCATCTTAAATGAAAGGTGGTCATTTTAGACCATTGTTATTCTGTCCCAACTCACATACATGAATAATGGAATACACTAAGGAAGTAACATACATATAACAAAATGGATTACAATTACATCATTTATAGCCTAAAAATACATAAGTTCATCCATGAACTATCAAATTTACAAAGACGAAACCTAATCATATATAC